AAAAAATGTGGTTGTCATGACAATGATCAACAAGCCTGTTGTTGTTGCGATGAAATTGGCGTTGTTGCCTTGTACATATTCATCTGTCAATTTACCCTATTTTGCCATTTTTTCACATTTTTATAATTCTTGATACGCTGCAAAACTGAGCGTAGCAACTGTAGGCTTTTTGTTTATTGCCATAGCAATAACATACTAAATTTTTTCGACATTTGGACAAGTAGAAGCAAAGTTATAGCGATATAAGCGATTTTTTAAATTCTTCCATAGTAATTCCCATACAAATTTCAAATCATTGGCGCGACCTCTAAACCTTCATCAATCTTTACCAATTTTTGCACAGGTTCATATTTTGGGGCTATGAATCGAACTGGAGGGTGGCCCATCAGAAATTCATCACTTTTTTCAGAATGAAGCACCCTAATGGCCATGTTCTTAGAGGCGGCGAAATCGATGACTTTCGTATAACCGGTCTGAATTCCTCCTCCTGGCCGACTTGAGCGTTAAGATCTCCGATAACGATTTTGACGTCATGGCTTGGGCAGCTGCGCGTAAAAAGCGTCTTTATCGTCATAGTCACTTGCTATGCTGACATTGAATAAACGGCCTTTGATCCTCAACTTGCACATTCTGCTATCGATTGGCCACCACCCAATCACGCGCTTCTGCATTTCCCCCATCACGATGAAAGCTGTACCCAGCTCATGTGTATTGCCGCAGCTCTGGTAGATGGTATAACCATCCCTATACGTATGTACCGACGATCCCTTCCAGAAAACCTCCTGCAGCGCTACGATGTCGAGCTTGCGGACCCTCAATAAATCGGACTTAGGTACTTCCCAAGAAATTGAGGGACTTGCAGTTCCATGTTCCGAGTTTCCAATCGTTAGTCCGTTTCCCTTGCTTGGGTATATGCCGATTGTTCCGGTCCGTATTTACATTGCTTGCTTCCTGTACTTTTGTTTTTTTACGGCTGGCTTGTAGAGCCTGCACCAACCCCCATTGTTTCGCCGGAGGACCATCGTGCACAGCTCTGTTTAGAGTCCCACGCTGGACGTTGTTCAGCCGCTCCTAACATGGAGAACAGACGCCGTTTTGAGCCGCACCTCCATGGTGAACAGACGCTCGAAGACTGCACTCTCCGGAGAGAGGAGTCCCCCCTCCTTTCCCTGTCAGCATACGACCAAGGTCCCACCGGGGTTGGTTACCCGGTCTTCCCTATGGTTACACGTACCCCAGCCGGCATCGCGGGGAGGTAGGGATAGGAGTTACTGGACAAGAGGCTAAGGATCGCTAGTGGGGTCTATTTTATACCTGCAGATACGCGAAGTATCAATGGTACGCATTGTCCAACCGTTTACCAGCACAAATGTATTGGAAAAAAGCTGGGAATTTTAATTTCATAAATCCAGTGGTTATACTGCAGGGTGGCCACTCAACAGATATAAGATTTTTTTTTCGAGGAATTGAACATTTTGTATATGGCCGGTTTCAAATTTTGGTTTACTGGCACCCTAATGAATATTAAAGGGTGATACGGTCAAAATTTGGTCAATATCAACTTGACGTATTTCTTTCAATTTTGCATTTAAAAAACCTGAACACCCCTCATTTTGAAGGTGTGTGTGTGTAGAATGTTGCTCCTATTTTGATTTTGGAATTCACTCTTCAGTTGTCAAAATGCCGTCCAAGCAAGAAGAGCAGCGTATCAAAATTTTGCTCGCGCATCGCGAAAATCCGAGCTACTCGCACGCAAAGTTGGCAAAATCGCTAAAAGTTGCCAAATCAACCGTTACAGATGTAATTGAAGTGTTTTGGGGAACGTTTGTCGACAGCCAGGAAGTCTGGATCGGGGGGAATTCGAAAACCGGAAGCCGCTGAGACGACAAAGAGAGTTGCCGGTAGTTTCAAGCGAAACCCTAACCTCTCTCTCCGAGATGCCGCAAATAAGCTGGGTGTATCGTCTACAACCGTGCATCGAGCCAAAAAACGAGCCGGACTATCGACTTACAAGAAGGTAGTGACTCCAAATCGCGATGATAAACAAAATACGACGGCCAAAGCGCGATCCCGGAGGCTGTACACGACGATGCTGACGAAGTTTGACTGCGTGGTAATGGACGACGAAACCTACGTCAAAGCCGACTACAAGCAGCTTCCGGGACAGGAGTTTTATACGGCAAAAGGAAGGGGAAAGGTAGCAGATGTTTTCAAGCACATGAAACTGTCAAAGTTCGCAAAGAAATATCTGGTTTGGCAAGCCATCTGTACCTGTGGCTTGAAAAGCAGCATTTTCATAGCTTCCGGGACTGTCAACCAAGAAATTTACGTGAAAGAGTGTTTGAATAAACGTCTGCTGCCTTTCCTGAAGAAACACGGTTGTTCCGTACTGTTTTGGCCGGATTTGGCATCTTGCCATTACGGTAAAAAGGCCATGGAGTGGTACGCCGCCAACAACGTGCAGGTTGTTCCCAAGGACAAGAACCCTCCCAACACGCCAGAGCTCCGCCCAATTGAGAAATACTGGGCTATTGTCAAGCGGAACCTAAAGAAGACCAAAAAAACTGCTAAGGGCGAGCAGCAGTTCAAGGCAAACTGGCTTTCTGCGGCGAAGAAGGTGGACAAGGTGGCTGTACAAAATCTGATGGCAGGGGTCAAGCGTAAGGCCCGGCAATTCGGATTTGGAAAAGCGGAAGCCGAACTGAATATTTTTCCTGAATTTTATACTAATTGAACTTGAAAAAGAAATTTAATTTGATTTTTTAAATAAACGATTTCACCGATTTGCACGCGTTTTCCCTTGACCAAATTTTGACCGTATCACCCTTTATGTTGTATCTGGTTTTTCGTTGCAATAGTATCAATATTTGATACATTAGCAATTAATTACGTTGAACAATATGCTCGATTACTTTTTCTAAGGGACGTATCTGCTTTTGTAAACAATGCATTTGATCGTCGATTTGGCGTAACTACTACCACCAGATTGGGGAAATTTTCCCCTACATGATAGCGGTGTTAGTATGCGTGAGCGAGCTACCAGTTGCGTCAAATCGACGATCAAATGCCTAGTTTACAAAAGTAGATCCGTTCCTTCGAAAAACTAATCGAGACTACATTGTTTAACCATGTCGTAGGTAGAATGAGCAACACGACAAGAGGGCCTTTCTTGATTTTTTTCGTGAAATATGTAGGCCAATATGTATAATTTGAAAACCAATTTATTAAACTGTTCTTGCACATTTATTTATTTAAATTACAAAAGAAGCAGTTTTCTCTTAAAATAAAAAGAATTTAGAAAACTATGAAAATTTAATATTGAAACAAATATTCAATTATTGTAAGCAATCTGAAAATATTAAATGCAATGCAAAGAAACTACCAGACGGTAAAACAATTAAAGGAATTACAATTTAAAAAAAGCCCATTATTCTCCTGCATATCTGTTATGGTTGTTTCAAGAGTCTAACTATTGAAATCAATTAAAATACTATTGATTTTGAATAAAATGTTTAAGTCTTTCTGTGTGGAACTTTTTTTTCGAATTCACTGGATTTTCATACCACTACGCTACGCTGAATGTTTTTTACGCTTCCGATGTACACAAGTTTGACTGTTTCGAACATTCGACGGAACCCCTACCCTTTCGCATGCGAATCCGCGGCACACAATTTCATTACGCCATGTGACAAGAATCAAGCTAAACATGATCAAAACATCACATTCAAATCCTGCGCCGACGAACAATTCCATCAGCTAGCTAGAAGGGATGAAGTGACAAACAAAATAGTTTACCAGGGAAAGAGGATTTGGTAGGCAACAAGCGCCTGAGGCGAAATTTATTTGTCGTCTAGTAATATGAAACTTTGTATTAGGATGGGATGTGGAAATTCAATTTCCTTGGCACAAGGGTGGATTTCTCGGGGAAAAATCATCATCCATGCATCGGTGGATTTTTGAGCCACTAGGGTCTTGTACTCGCCAGGACGGGAGCTTATTATCAGCAGAGGACGTGAATTCGTAATCTGTCCCGCTGAGATGGTGTGAGATAGGTAGCACGTGGGTCGTCGGAATCGAGAAATATGATGCTATTGTAAATAGTGATGATGATGATGATGTTGGCCATGACGAACAGTCATCAATCGAAGCTATTGGCAACGATTGTTGCAAAGAAGAAAAAGTAGGATTTGCGGAGAAACGCATCGGAACAGGATATCAGTTCCGTCTGTGTCACGTGATTGTGAGGGTCAGTGTCGAATTTGGTCTATTCAAGGAAGGATAAAAAAGGTGGCGAGATCAAAGATATCCGGATTTGGTATTCCAGTCACGCGTGTAACGAATCCAATTTGGTCGGAGGATTGTGGTAGTGGGGAATTAATGTGAGTGCAGTGTCCTTTCTGGAGAAAAGCTAAATTTGAGCATTTCAACTATTTGATGGTAATGTATCCACGACGTACAGGACAAATTATCCTAAAAGTAGTTTCTTTTCTACACTGTTAAACGTATATTTGAACAGGTATATCTTTTATGAACTTAAATTTCACATTTCTCACTAACGACATTTTTTTTCATAAACATTTCAACAAGTTCTTACCGGTTTCGTTTTTGAGTTTGGATACATTTTCCTCTGATATACGTGTCTTGCAACTTATTTCTTGCCCGAAATGAATACCATTGAATGATTCATCAAAGTTTTATCACAGTTAAATAAATGTATGCTACTGCTTGCTAGCACGCGACAGTCTGACTGATAGTGGTATAACTTTCAGACGGAATACATACCAGACTTGAGACTATTTATCCTCTATCGATTTTTCACCTCACTCAAAACGGCATTATTATTGTATTGTTGTAAAGACACTGGATATATTTCAATTCATACTATTCAGTACGATGAAGCCTAATTACTTGATTCCATTATTGATACGGAACACTTGCCTTCTGTATTGATTGGAGGGCAATTACCACACACGGTCGTTGCAATATATCATCACACTTACCACACGGTCACTATCACCACCGGTGATTGCTGCTGGCAGGATTGAAGCCATTTCGAGTAATGGTAACCACTGGTTTAGAATGTTCAACAGAAAAAGTGCAATTTTCGGTTCAAATGTTAGCGATACCTCTTCTCACTCCGACCGAGAGGGACAAGTATCACTGATCTTAGGTTCGGTTTGAAACTGTGCCCCCCGGATCGGCGGAACTCGTTTTATACTATTAACACTTCCTTTGTTTGCCACTGCGAGTCAGTCCTGCGAGGTGTGCCCCATATTCCGGCCATTGGACAAATGATTCAGTTGCCTGTTTTCCCATTTGAAACGGAGACAATATCCAAAGGTGGCTTTTCTGTGTATGCGATGTAAGTACGTTGATCTATGGAACATTTATGATAGGCCTTTTGCGAGGCAGCACAAACACTAAACACACTGTTAGATCCTTTACGGTTGTTTAGCAACCGGGTGTCGTAAAACAAAAAGTGCATGAGTTGCAGCAGCAGCGCGTGCTCCACCGGATGGCGAACCAAATACAGGCAGCGTGACTACTGTAGTGTTACAAATACCTGTTCTACGAATCGTTTCCTTTTACGAGCTTTCATTCATGTCGATTATGCTGACTACGCTGCAAAAAATAAAGCGTGAGAATGCACCAGGACACGCAGGTCGAATGCTATGCTGTTTTGTAAGTGGGGTTGAAGTTTTCTTAAAGTGCATTCAACGATTCCTCGACGACACGTAAGCGTCTGGGAATGTGTAAATATGCAAATCAGGACAATGAACTTCGTACTTTACTCGTTCATTTGATAATTTATGTTACTAATCGATAGTGACGAAGTGTGGAAGTGTTCTATTTATAGAAAATTGTTGCTTGCATAGTTTCAGAATGCAGTTCGTTTAAAGAGTGAAAAATCATTGTCCTTAAATTTTAATGTTTTTTTGGCAGAACTATTTGAACCAGTATAGTTGTAGATTATCCTGCATTTTATAATACCTTCCCGTTTTTTGCAACTTGTGATTATTACCTTATTACTGCGTTAGCTGGATTTGAAGAATTCATCGAACCTCACATTCCATTTGGTCGGCTTTATGTCAGAGGGGACTAAGTAACCAAATTAAAAAAGAATTAAATGATGATCATTTGATCAAGAATTTCTTAAGCTACATTTCACTTTTGTCAGATTTGGTAAATGTTAGGAGAAAACAGCCAAACGGGTTGCTCCATTTCATAAGAAACAATGCTACTAAGCAAACTTGGAATTCGTATTTCTGGAAATCAACAAAACATTTCACTTAGTCCGGTGATTTTACTGAACTCAGATTTATTTATTTGTTTATTTGCTTCCTCTAACTGAAAGTCTAAAGATGATGGATGGATAAAAGCCTGTTTGAGTAGCCGTTAAACGAGTGTCTTACTCAAGCAAGCCTAATACCACCATATAATATTAAAACAGAGGCAACAAGAATGCAATACAAACCGTAACATAAACATGATAGTCATACAAAACAAGTGGAACCAAAAAACAGGTAGCGAAATCGTCATTAACATATTTGGCGCCGGTGCACACTACCATAGAGGTAACTCTAAGACCAGAAGGTCCCGAAGAAACGAGCTCAACTTTTTGGCTCAGCTCTGGTACTATCTTCGGTCCCAAGCTAATCGATTCACCCCTCGAAACATAGGAAAACCCACTAACCCCCCATTTTATCTGTCAAACTTTCATAGTGAATAAAAACAAACATAGTGTAGTACTGGAATTTATACTATAATGGGGTACGTTAGTCGATTTGCTTGAGACCAATAGGCTAGTCAAGTAGTGAGCCAATTTAAAATCGTTAGATTCGTATTGATTGTTGACACTACTGGGCAGAATGGTTTGGAAAAATATACACATATATTGTAGAGCGCTACTTCGTCGTAATCGCCCATTTCCGTTCTATCGAGCAGAAATCATCAATAATATCCATGATTTCACCGTATACAAATCAATAATACATTTGTTTCGATACGTTAGCTCATAAGCTACAACACAAAGCCTATACAAGTGCGTTGTATGAATATATAAACTCATTATTCTCAAAACAAAAGAAGCGCTCCTAGCAAATCCATTTTTGCTGTCTTCATTCGTAAAACGAAGGAAAACCAATCCGTTTCAATGCGTTAGGACGGAATTGAAATTCGTAGAACTAATTTGCAACCAAGAAGCAGTGTTAGATTTCTTACAATATCTCAATAATTTATGACTCTATCAAATTCAACGGTACGTATAGAAAGGTACATACATTTGGAATTATGCTTAGTAGGACGGAAATTAGATTCAAAACCCTACAGTGTATCTCAAAATTGTTCAATTTATTTTAGTAAAACGCTCGATTTTCAACCTTTTACCTAGTGGACGAATTTTAGTAAAATTAGTGTCATATGAGATTATTACGATTAAAAATGTGCAAAATTTGAAGAAGTTTCGTTCATTTCATTTCAAGAAAAAGTGTTTTTCTTAAATTGTTATTTTTGCAAATTCATCCAAATATGCCTAAAACTGACCCAATAATAAATAAATGTATATATTTTTCTAAAATTTAAGTACATCTGTACGATCAATTTTGAGATACACTGTACATACACATTTTATTTTTACCGTCAGGGTGGAAATTGTCACCCTAATGACAAAATAAAAAAATACGGAACCACTATATCGCTTTGCTATGGAATAGCTGATTCTTATGTGAAAAATCCGGGTAATCGAATTCCGCTGGTTTTATCTTGCGCAGGCTCCAGGGCATGGAAGTGCTCCATTCTGCCCGTTTCTCCCCCATTTTATGATGAAATTAGTAAGTATTTGGCTTTATATGCGACTTCCGGCTATCTACAGGCATAAAATGTAAAGAATGATATGGTAGGAAGCCAAGGCCATCAATTAAAACTTATTTCATACTGTGCAGACTTAATAGATAGTCTATTTTGCCCCATTTATGGGTTATTATCAACAGTTCTAAAAACTGTCGCTATATTTTAAACATAAAACACAGCATATCATACATGAAAAAGTCCAACGAATCGATTGAAACATGTATCGGATTGTGTAGACCTCGGGAAGTATGTAATTTTGCTCCATTTGCATCCAAGACTCATTATTTATGGCGGGTAGTTATTAACAGTTTTGAAAACTGCAGCTAGATTTCAGACTTAAAACACATCATTTCTAACGTGAAAATTTCCAACAAATCGATTGGAGCATGTATGGGATAGTGTGAAATCCGGGAAGTAGCTCATTTTACTCCGTTTTCCCAATACTCTTTATTTATGGAAAAGTCCAACGGATCGATCTATCAGACTTAAAATCAGCTACCTACTTCCCGAATTCCAAACTATCCTATACATGTTCCAATCAATTTGATGGACTTTTTTACTTAAGAAATCATGTGAAGTGCGGTTCTGGGTCAGTTTTTGCCCACTGTGCAGTGGTTGAAACAGTGATTGTTTTTTTTTTACTATTGTCGCTACAGCTGAATACTAAAAAACACTCGATTTTGCTCTTGTTCTAAACATTATACTTAGTGTTAGAAGTAGTGCGCTATAATAGGCCATCATTGTGCGACTACAATGCACTACTTTCGACACTATGTAGGGTAATTGATTCTGGATGGACCTATCCAAAAACTGATGATGGTTGGACCTATTTTTCAATCGCTAGTTTAGTCAATCTTCGCTAAGTTTTTATTTTCAAAGATCACTTTACTATCATAAAAAAACTCTTTTTCTTCAATTTGCATGGGTGTTTTATTGAAAAAACTTCAAAACAATTGAGTTTCAATGTGTTTTCAAAACAGTTCACTTTTCACGCATTAGCTCGTCATCATGCCTTACTTTCAAACATACAAAAAGGGAATATTTTTCACATTTATTTTTATTTTCATGCAGTAAAATACTGCTTTAAGGTGTAAACAGCACGTTAGTACGCCATTTATCCATTGGTTTCACTAAAATGTTTGAATAATTGACGAAATTCGAATAGATAAATATGATCATGGTTGGACCTACGCATGATGATGGTTGGACCTATGTGTTTCCTAAGACGGCCGCTAGGTGCGCTTCGGTTTGTCTACATCCTTCATGCGCAGCTGATTTGAAATTCGATTTCGTTTTTTCCGAGTGATCAGTTTCTTCGATTGAAAAAATGGCTAAAGAAAAGAGTTATACGGTCGAAACCCTTCAAGAGGCTTTTCTTTTAGTAAGAAATAAATCACTTACCACGTATCAGGCACAGAAAAGGTACAATATTCCGAAAACGACGCAAAAATTAAGGGAAGCCACGGCAAGAAATATGGAAGGGAAATAGTGTTGAGTGTTGATTTGGAGAACCAGCTAGCGGATTGGGTTTGTATGTGCGCTGCTTCTGGCAGTCCCAAGACGGCCAAAAAGATCTTGAAAGCTGCTAAAGATCTTGCGTCACTAGTTGGGCGTAAATTTTAAGGAGGAATTCCATCGTCAGGTCGGTTGAAAGGGTAACCACCAGCTGGGTGATATGCCGCCATGTTATTGAAACCAACATCTGAAACGTCACAATTCAAGTGTGAACTGCAAAAATGGCGTGACTGAATTGTCTTATTTTTATCAAATGAAATTATTTTCCCTTTTATGCCATATAAATGGTTGACTTCGTGGTAGAAAATCAGAAAATAATATTTTATGAGTTCTAAGTTTATTTTTCACAAAATGTAAGCAAAAATATTAAGAATATATAAAATATCAGTCACGCCTTTTTTGAAATTCTGGCTTGAATCTTCTATTTGTTTACAAATTATGAGCTGTCAGTGGGGCCCACGATTCGCGGGCCCACAGCGATGTTAGCTCTTTTCAAGGCAAGGCAAACAAGATAGGCCTGCCACCCAGCTGGTAACCACCGATTTCCGAACTACCACGAAAGCGCCGAAAGAATCTGTTGATATGAATTTACATTAAGCACTTCACATACACCTTCTGTTTGTGAATTAACTTGAAATAAAATGTTAAGAAACTAAAAATTGCTAACTGAAACTTATTTCCGAAAAAAAAAACTCCTAGTAGAAAAATAAAACTATAAAACCGGAATTAAGTTCTGATATTCTGTCATTTTAAGCCCCTAAATTCCCCGGGGGCACCCAGAACAGGCCCGGAAGTGGCCAATGTGGTCCAAGGCACTCAATTTTGATATTGATCTTGTTATCGAATTTGGAAGTAATGTAAAGTGTCGCATGATAGGTTTTATTCCTTCCATGTCAAAATT